AATTTAGTGGGGACAAGGGGACAGAACCGTCTAGTATACAAAGGCTGGCTTCTAGTCTGTACCGCGCCCGTTCGCTGTCTACGGCTGGAACCTTCTCGATCAGACAGGGAAACCATTGGCCGAATAAGGGCTGCACTCGTTAGGACCATATTCCTCCATCATCATCCAACTCGGGTCGCCGTGCTGACAAACAGCCTAAGGGTCAAGCAATCAAGCAACAAGCAGCAGGAGCATGCAGGAGGAATAAAATCCCTCAGTGCTGGTTCTTTTCGGGCTTGTGTTTTGTGTGTGATTGTGCCGCTTCTCGCTGTGGACTGTGTGCCTGCCGGTTCAGCTTGTTCCTGCTTTGTTTTGCTTGAGGCACTTTTTACCCTCTGCCAGTAAATCCTATAAACTGGAAGTGCTGGTCAAGAAATGAGCGAATCGCTGCCAAAGCAAGCTTCGTCGCGAGTCGACGGTGTGCAGAACCGATGACAATTGGCCGGAGACCAGGTTTATCGCTGTGGACTGTGTACCTGCCGGTTCAGCTTGTTCCTGCTTTGTTTTGCTTGAGGCACTTTTTATCTTCTGCCAGTAAATCCTATATCAGCTCCCTTGGAGAGGGGAATAAATCTGCCTCCTCGACGAATGGCTGACAGGGCAGGAATAAGAAGATCCGGCATCCGCTCTTGTCTGGTGCGAGGCGCATGACGCCCTTGCGGGCGCAAGCACTTCTCGAGCCAGAGGACAGCTCCTCCTCGGACTTTGTCGAGTCGCCCGAGGGGGAGTCTTCGCCGGAGGTCTCCGACTCCGATGGGGGAAACACGTCGAGTGGCGCCGACGATCGGCGCGGAGCTGGCGAGGCGTCTCCGTCCCTCACTGTGACGTCGGGTGCCTCCGGAGAGCTCGACACCACTGGGGTGCTTGCTGCTGGTCCGAGCTCGCCTGCTTCCTCCCCGGCATCGGTCGGGTCACGCCGGTCCTTGGGCATTGCTGCGGCGTCGCCGCCGTCACGGGCGGCTACCGCTGACTCGGCTACCGCTGACTCGGAGGCTAGCGAGGAGGACTACCTCGAGCGGTACCGTGTTCCTGTGTCCAGCCTCCCTCCGTCCGCTGCCCCTGGCGGACCCCCGGGCAGCGCCGGCTCCTTGTCGGCGGCTGCCCTTTCTCCGTCCGCGGCCGCCCGCTTTGTGGCGGCAGCGGACGTCTCGACTGACAGTGGTCAGTCGGCTGCCTCCGGGTATCGCGTCTAAGGGATGTTATTCTATCAGAAAAGGA